TGCGTGATGGGGCACAAGACGTAGCAGAAAGAAATCGCGCTCTCTGATTGGTGTGTTTGTACCTGCAATGCGTCACTCCCATGGTCTGCGCTGCCGCTGCATCTTGTCCATAGACATCCCAGTCAGTGCCACAGGCTCAGCAGACAAGCTTGTTGCATAGTGTGTATACATATGGGCATCATCTTTAGGGAGGCCCAATAAGATAGTTTTGATAAGTAATTAGCTACCAGGAGCATAGTTTGTTACTTGTAACTAGGGTATTACTGACCCACTTTGTGCTAACACCAGTTCCTCTACCTCCTATTGCTGCAGCTTTCTCATTTCTGGTTTCATTTCTGGTATTTTATTGGCATGTTTGTACTCTAAAACTGCTGTTATAGGGTGACCACAGACTAGATTAGAGTTCAGTGGAGTAAAGTTCCCTCCTGTCTGCTCTGCAAGTCTTCATCACTTTAGATTTTATGCATAATTAGATGCAGTGTCAGGGCTGAAGTGTTTGGGTGTAATAGTTTGTAATATTTAATAGCTTGTGCATGTGTGTGTGTGTGTGTTGTCTGTGTACGTGCACATTTAGATGTGTAATATGTGACTGTAGCAGGCGTTGCTTGTCAGATGACTGTGGATTCTCAGGTCTAATTGTGCTGCTGGTGTGGATGGGAGTATCTGATAGCCTAATTGCTTATGCCTGACTGCTCCCCTGTCTCCCAGTGACCACCTGTCTCTGCCCTGATCCCAAGGGAGGCGTCGAGGAGTTGGAGGAGGGTGGACGTAGATGTGCGAGGAGTAGGGTTTGAACAACCACTCAGAATGTACTAGAATCTCCATGTCCCAAAACAGCCCCCTTTTTTTCCCTACCGGTTCCACTGCCTCCCTCCTTATTAGCCACGGGTGTCACTATATAAGTAGAGAGCAGGGATTGTAGAAAGCTCAGTATCTCACACATCGATGTAAGGAATCCAAAGTGGTTCCCGGTTCCATCTGCGCTGTTCGCTGAGGTGCTGCTGCCGGAGCCATGTGATCTGCTGAGCAGCCTCAGAATCTGCCTGGCTTTTCCCCAGCCTAACTAATCTGGAGCATATTGGATTCTTTTCTTTTAAATCTGTTTTTCTGCTACAGGGTTTTTGTCACTGTGCAGATTATGTAATGCCAGAGGTGGCGGCACAAAGGCCTAAATCTGTCACAAGAACCAGATAAGCTGATGCATGTGCGAACGACTGTATGTGGAGGTGTATGAATTCACCTTTTGCCTCTTTGAAGATCTTTGGCAAACACTGTAAAAGCTACGCTTAGATACCGATAAGTTGTCGCCACGGACATTTAATCGCATTTTCCTCTGACGTTCACATGTTTGAGGCATTATTATGTGATCGATTGTGATCGATTGTGGATTGCACCAATAAAACCTGTTACGAGACAATTGGTTTAGTGGTGGGTCATAAATATTTCAAAATCAGAATAGCTTTCTATTTAGTCCTCCTCCTCAATTTCTATAGCCGCAATTCATCCAATATGCAGAATCAGCAGTTTGTTTGCTTGATGACATGGCCTTCAATGATCCCGTGGTCTCAGAGGAGCTGCTCCAGGTCAAAGGTGAATGTAAGCTGGAAGTTAATATGGACAGAGCAATATGGAACCCAGGAGACATTACTTAATGGTCTATAAAACTTGAAACCAATCTCCATGATGTAAGCCAAGGACGACCTAACTCACACCACAGAGCACAATACAGTATGCGTTACAGTGTTGTTTCTGCATTATGGATGTTTGGTGTTATGTGAACTCTGGAGTATTATTTTTTTTACTTGCACATACGCACTTTGCTCAAACCAGTGTTGAGCACTGACACTATTATATTTCTCCTGCCGTTATCAGCTCTGTGAATATATAACTGGCTCGCATAATGCGTCCTTATCAGCACTGCCCAACCCAGAGCACTTGTATAAAACGGCAGCTTTCATTTCTGTACCGCAGGGGGTCAAGGGTCGCTTTAGTTCAGCCAAGGCAGGGCTGTAGTCAGCCCTCCATCCTCATTAATGTCACCTCCCAGTGGCCATGACATCACTCCTGCTGATAGCAGTTAGCGTCGTCCCCTTTACAGGAAAACCAACCATGTGGGTTAGTTCAATTTTTGGCAATGGGGGCGGGTTGGCACACAGCACGTGAGATACAGTATGTGGTGGTGCTGTGCAGCGTGGTGGGGTTGCACAATCATGTTCTAAAATAAAGCAGCTTTCAAGCATAAAGGGCTAATTTGTGCGGTTAAGTGGCATGTGAGGACTTTGAGGGATAAAGTGCTGGTGACAAATATGAGAAGATGTTTACCTGTGTAACTGAAAGACGCGGACACCATTATTAATGGATGAGGATTTGTAATGCACCTGCTGGTCTTTTGCCAAGTGAGCAGATCAACTTTCATGGGAGAGAATGGCAGTTGTCTGGGCGTCATGGATGTCAAGTTCGTAGTGAAAAGACCTTTACAGTGCGTGAGTGTGCACATGCAGACCTGCACCTGCTTGCTTTTCAGTGTGTGTTTGAACATCCACACGCCGGGTGTATGTGTAAGATTAGCCCATATGCCCCCATACAAACGCTTCTGGAGATGGTCGGTACAACAGGGAAGGGGTGTGCTCATGTAAACATGTATTTTTTATGACCTACAGGCAATTTCAGCTGCATCTGACCAGCCTCTGAGAATTCCTGATTACCAGTAATACTTCCCGGCAAACACTGGCCACACTTCTAGCCCAGTCAATGGAGGAAGTCGATGGCTTACAGCAAACCACTCCCATTTAGTGAGAATGGTTTTACAACCATGCAATAAAGGTGTGAGCTGTGTAAAGTCCAACAACAGGCTAGCCGCGCATGAGCCGATCCCACGGGCATTCTGGTCTACCTGTTACTGAGAAAAGACTTGTTTTCCAAAATTACATCATGAGGCAGAAATGATTAATGGCTTTAAATCGGATAAGAGGATTTGGTCGGGCCTGCTATTCCCTGCCTATTTCAATCATGTTGTGATGAAATGGATATAGTGTTAAGCATGCACTTAGTTTTCTGTCCCCCCAAACGTGTTTCTGTTCATTGGGCCTGCTGCTAAATCATCAAGTGTTTCTAAAGCTGCACATGTCAGTTGTTTTATTCGAGGCGATCTGAGGGACAAAACCACTTACTGGCTGTCAAATAGAATCCCTACTGTTGAGCTTCTCTCTCTCACTTTTCATTTCCCTCCTGTCCTCTCTCTCTCTCTCTCTCTCTCTTTCTCTGACTCTATCTAACTCTGTCCTTCTTCCTTCCACCCTCTTTCTCTCATTGGCTTGCCTCCAGGTTGTCTGCTGCAGTCAGTGTGGAGCTGGAGTTCAAACACTGCAGCCTTCAGCAGCACATGAAACAGTGCTACTTGGAACCTTCCAGAAGTGTGGCACTACAAAGCTCCCTCGGCAAGGTGATTTCATCCTCACTGGCTTTTGTTTTTTCTGTCACCGCTCGTCACTGTTAGCTGTGCCTTTGTCTATCACAGGTGTCAGAAGCTCTACTTTCCGTGGATTTTTATTCTTTCCCGCAGTTTCCTCTACAAATCCTCTATGTAGTGCTGTGGCGTAATCTCAGTTTACTCTCTCAATCAATCCCGTAGAAAGTGAAACCAGAGGAATCGAGAGGCACTGCAGAGGTTATGCAGGGGTGTTGGTGTGGAGAAATGACGGGGGGAGAGTGTTTTCGCAGCTCCCCGTCCTTGACCCTGGTTGGAGGGTAGGCCAGGTCTGTCTCTGCAGTGGCAGGGACCTGCAGGGCTGCTTCAGTCTGTGCCCCTCTCAGATGATCTCATTCTGCAGGGGGCAGCAGGCTCCACCGCATGCTGTGGCCACTTCCAGATGAAGGCTGCAGAGCAGGTGTCTAGTCATCTGTGTGTGTGTGTGTGTGTGTGTGTGTGTGTGTGTGTGTACTGCTGTGAGAGTGCTGCGTTTCTGCTTAAACCCCACTCATAAACAAATGTGATTGATCTGTCTTGTGTAGAAGTCTCAGCTGTGACACCTGCTGGCTGGAGGAGGAATTGCAAGAAGCTGGCAAAACAAACAGAATGGTGTAAAGGGAATACTAATGAGATGTAGAGGTGGAAAATAACTACGTACGTTTAGCCAGGTGCTCTACGTACATACAGTTTTGAGATTACATGAGTTTCTCCATTTAATGCTAAAATTACTAGTCAGTGTCAGGTCCAAAAAAGTACAAAACATACATTCAACAAGTGAAACGTCATCACTTTAAATATTCCAGTAAATTTATATCTAAAACGCAGTGAAATTCTGAAATGAGTATTTTACTTTTGATATTTAAACTACATTTTGCTGATACTAGTTGTGAACTTGAATGCAGGACTTACATATAGTTGCAGTTTAAGATAAACAGATGGTTTTCTTAGTCAATGTGATGCACTGTAACAGGCAGCATAGGTTACACGGTTATAGGGGGCACAGGGTCAAAATGTTCGATGGTTTAAATTCTTAAAAGAAACATCATCAAATTATTCAGTTTATATGCAGGCCATAGACAAACAGTAAACATGGGGCCTTTGGGGTCACTGTTCCAGGACAGCTGTGCCGTCGCCATCTATGCCAGAAAATGTAGGTAAAATGAACGCAATCGAGACCAAATACAACCTTAAAACCCTGTTTACATGTTAATGCATCAGAGTGCATCATGAGTCCTTTTCTGTAAATGTACTTGAATTGTATTTTGCTTAGTAGCTAGGTAATGTTTTTAAAGCAGAAAAAGCTCGATTTTGGCTGCATCTCTTCACATAATGGCATACTGTCACACTGTGCTTGACACACATCAGCTTTGCAGGTTGATGCTTGCAAAGTTCAAACCTTTGTGTTATCTTCAGCCACAGGACCTTTCTGGTTTCAACATTACTAAAGTGGCTTCATAGTTACAAAACCCAAACCACTGCATTCTCTGCTCTTGAAATGATCACCACATGACAGTGTTGCTAAAGTGGCCTTTTTAATTATTCACATGAAATATTAACAAATGATTTTTACTTGCAGACAGACAGCTTTCAGCTGAAACACTGAATTACTCCGCTGTGGTAAATGAACTGGGAACCAATCCAGCAATGAACAATAATTTAGAGTGTAATTTCCAAAGTAGATAAATGCTTTCAGAAAACAGTGACACCTACTTTCTATGGGTTGAAGTGTTTGCGGAATAATAACACTTAGATAACTTGAATCAACCATGTTTTGGTGAATATGAACGATGCTGGATGTGGACACATTACTGGACAAGAACAACGATGAACTTCGTATTGAATATAATTGTGAACAGAGGGCAGGAGCCTGACACCAGGTATTCTGGTAAACGCTAATGTTGCTATCAAAGAGGCTGTTGGCTCAGTATCAGCTGGAAGCTGAAGACCACTGCAGTGGTTTACTTTTCATCAACATCTCTGGCCAAGAGATTGTCGAGTTCTGCTGGGTCAGACTGACTGTAAACTGATGTCCAGGCAGAAAAAAACTTCCAGCACCAACTTGGCAGGTCCATCACTCAGCGGAGAGGATTGGAAATAATTGACTTTAAAAGTCACTCGGGGTTAATTACTGGTTTTGTTGCAATATAAATAAGGGTTATTCATCTTGTCAGTATAAAATATATACTGTGGCTCAAAAAGTGCTTGCACTGTGGTCATAAACCCACATATTTGTGTTTGCGCCTTCTAGAATGTACTATCTGTAGTAGTGCCTTGGTGTGATGTTGTCAATGATCCGAGGGCTGCTGTGGGTCATGTAGTGCAGGGCCGGATCTGAGTAGTTGAAGGGTGGAGGGTTGTACTGCTCGTGGATGTAGTCCGGCGACAAGTGGGGGAGGCTGGAAGAAATGAAATGAGCCCATCAGAAAGCTGGAGAAAATATGAAAACACGTCAGGTGACGATTCATCAAGATGCTGTAAAGTGATGTGCGTATTATTTTTTGCACTCTAGATGAGGAGAAGATGTCTGTAGCTTGGATCAGACGGGTCATTATGTACTGTGAAGCTGCCGTGTGGTACTAATATTTACCTCTATCAATGCCAGGTGTTACATTTCTGTACAATTTGTGCCTCTTTCTGTGAAACCCTGGCTCTGATCAGTGCTGTCTATATTTCTCCATACAGTAGACAATAATTTCAGGCAAATTTATGGAAATGTTTGAATGGGCAGCAGTTGTTGTGGAATACTCAGTGACTCATGCATATTCATGCAGGCTCTAGCCCAGATATCTCGAGTGTTGAAAGATGCTGAAATCTGGGGCTAAAGCTGATTAAAAACATGAAACACACATCCCGAGCGCTCCTCTAGACTCGCTGTTGTCTGATTCGCAGTTCAGATGTTTTGAATTGTATATCATTACGGTTGTTCTCTGTGCAAATATGTATATCCCCGCTGATAATGAGGTACAGACTGTGCAACCTGCTGTATCATGAATCATCCTGTGAATAACAGACGAAAAACAAAACAAAAAAAAAAACACACACATTTTGCCAAATGATTCTTTGCAAAGTTGCCCATTGACAGTGCAAATCTTTAGACCCTTTGTTCAGTCCTTGGTTACAGTTGTGCCGTTATGTTGTGTCGTTGCTCGGTCCAAATTGTTGTACATTTGGTGCAACTTAATGTGGAATCAGTGAGTTAAACCACAACTGTTCCATCGTATCACACACATCTGGGACCTTACGAATTATCATATCATACTGCATAATCCAAGTATCTCTCTCTCTGTCTTGTTGAAAGACAACAGAATAACCACTTCCCGGGCTTTTGCTTATTCACTCTAATCTAACAACATAATCCCAACAATGCTGCCCCCCCTCCCCTCCCTCTCCTCCATTATATCCATAGGGCCTGCAGAAAAAGCAGGCCAGTCATCAGGGGGATTATGTGTCTCCATGGCCCACTAACACCTGGTCCAGATGCCATACATCTGCACACACACATGCATGCTGGAGCAAAAGGATACATGCACACTGTGATGCGCAAAGTCATGAACACATCCTCTGTTCTCCACTTTGTCATGCACACATGCATCTGGGTATTCTTCAGAGTGGATTTCTATTCGGCGCGGAACAATCAGCTGTGTATTGAAACCCCACGGTGATCTGTTATTTTTGTAAGTGCAATTGAGTGGAGATGAATATTTTTATTGCGGCTGACTCTCCAATCTGTGTTGTCTGGTTAAAGAAAATAACAAACACTACAGGTTATTATATCTATGTAATGTAATGGGTTCATTTTCCTACTGAGAGTTATAAAGAGTGATTGATATCATTCTCCTGTCTGCATAATAAATATGATGTGCTGAGCTTAGCATAAACACCTTCTGAAGCAGCACCTCTAAAGTCCATAAATGACCACACCGTCTTGTTTTTAATTTGTACATATATGAAGCTGCTGGTTCCACCGAAAACACGGTTCGGCTATGAGTAGTTTTTACAATTTGAGCAAGTTGCAATGTGTCCCATAGTGACCCTTAGAGGTCCCAGCAGGCAGATTTGGCTACATTCAGACGGATCTAGCCAAGCTGGTTCCCCTTTGACAGCCTTTATGCTAAGCTAAGCTAAACTGCACCTTTATATTTACCACACAGATATAAAAAATACATCACTCTTCTCTCTCCATCTACTCTGTGCATGGGAGAAAAATCCCAAAGGCTGAAGTTTTCCTTACATTAGATCCTTTAATGATGCTGTTTTGGAGATTTTGTTGCCAGCAGAGCGTCTCCAATGTGCATGAAGCTGCAAATATTTTCTCCACTATTTGATGCTCGTCATTATTTTGGTTTACTATATATTATATGAGCAATATTCCTCAGTGTTACCCAAGTGCAGTTTCATAACTCAGACGAAAGCTGTTAGTAGGAAGTGTTTTTGTTTAATATAGTAAGAGAGTGGGCAGTCCGTCCTCCAACTGAGAAGTTAAATGGGAGGAAGACAGTGCTGCAGCAGCACAACAGTGGACAGGATTTAAAGCCTTCAAGTTGCTGTAGAGGATTGTCTCTGGGCAGACCTACTTGACTACTGTACCTTGAAATACGCTGTGTGTGTGTGTGTGTGTGTGTGTGCGTGTGTGTGTGTGTGTGTGGTCATTCTCTGCAGCAGTACATTTTGGGATGACCTGCATCGAACCCTGCCTCACCCTGCCCAAAGGAGCTGCTGACCCACCTAAAAACATGTTTTATATTCACTCATTAGAGTTTTAGTGCCCCGTGACGGTCTGGCCATTGTTTTGTAAACCACTGAGGCTGTACACTTTGTCTTCGCATGCCTTTTGTGAGGCTGTAAAGCTCATTAGAGAACAGAACACATGATGTCTGATGTGTGGTGCGCACTGTGCACCAGACAATGTTGTTGTATGGATGACAACGTTTCTATTCTTAGCTCCAGTGAGCTGAAAGAGATGAAAAATGGTAGAAAAGAAAAATGCTATGCTAACACATAAATCCGAAGCACTTAAGTTAAATGTCTCAGGCTGTTTTGGAGTCTCCAGCTCGCCTCCTCTTTGGACTCTACAGATAAATGAAGCCTGATAGTAGAGACTGAGGAAAGGCCTGTGTCATAATTAAATGTCAAACAACAGTGTAACAAACAATGTCTAACCACACGAGGTACAGATGGAAGGTTTGTATTCAACCATATTTAGCAAAACTGTAACCTCTAGTATGTATTTTTAAACTGGATTTTGTTTTAGTGTGTTTTTTATGTGAAACATACCTTTAAATATGTTCCTAAGCAGCAGAAATAACCAGTAAATGTCAACAATCAAATGCAACCTCTCTAATATAGCTATCAAAGTATTATTATCATTATTTGTGTTGCTCGTGTCACTCACTCTCCAGTAACAGTCTTCTTGCAGCAGCAGCAGAAGCAGGCCAGTGCAGCCAGGAGCAGCAGCAGGAGCAGAGGGATGCCAATGCCCAGAGCCAGACCCAGAACAAGGTCCACCTCCGTACTGTTCACTTTTCCTCTGTCTGTAACAGATTCATCAGTACTGAGTCATCACAAACTCCCTCTCTCTTCGAAACAAGTCAGGAATGTTTTGCAAAGCGAGAAAGTTTGAACAGGCCTGTTGCTCACCTATTACACAGGACTGGGTTTTATCCACGTCAATGGTGCCGTTGCAAACACACCTGTAGCCCCCGTAGGTGTTGGCACACTGGGCAGGGTGGACACACGCCTCCTCCTTGGCCTTACACTCATCCAGATCTGCAGGCAGACAGCCAGTCTTACTAACATGTTACCGGGTGCTGCACGATATGTGTACCTTTACATTACTGGATGTAACGTTTATCATGTTGAATGCACTTCCACCACATGTGTGTAGATTTCATTTGACCATTTTAGGATGTGGACACATTGAGAAAGGCTCTGTGTGTCCTCCTGCAGAAAACTTTGAGCATTAAACACTTAGTTTTTTGCATGTTTGGTGAATTTTTATACACTAATTTCTGCCATTCCTGCAGCAATTTATGTTGGGATTTTGTTTATTTCTGTAAAAAAAATAATAAAAAAATAAAAAAAGACAATAAGTAATGTAGTGCTTCTTTCATTTCTTAATTGGGGGTGGGACAAATGCAGGTATTCTAAATGTTGATGGATGTATCCCCTGTTCACTAGTCTACCTCTGTTGCAGTAAACATTATGATTAAAGAGCCTCATGAGTCATTTTAACATTTTTTTTTAAAAAACTGCTTATCTACAATGAAACTAGAAGCAACACTGAATAATAAGAGAAAATTCCAATTGTTTTCGAGCAAGGTTAAACTAAAATTGACCAAAGTTATATACTACTGCAATTTGAAACTCAGCAATTTCCCTGAGATTTCCACCAAAGGGATCAATACAGTTCTATTCTATTCTATTCTATTCTATTCTATTCTATTCTATTCTACTGGTACTCATTTTATTCAGTTGCGCAACATGTCAGGCAACAACAAGGAAAACATTTTTATGGATTCTTTTTAACATTGTAATTTTAATGGTAAAAAAATATGTAATTTTATTGCAAAAAAATTAATAAATAAATAAACAAAAGCACTTTACCATCAACTTCTGTTCTTCTGATGCCGTAGTGGCTGCTGACTCTGCTCAGGTAGTCCATGATGTACCAGTGGGGCGTGTCACTGGACACTCCGATGCGATACTCATCCAAACCTGGTCTGGATCCCGGTCCCGGATCTTTCCTAGTGATGTTGTAGTATTTGTTCCTGAAACCTTTTCTAAGAATGTCGTCCAGCTGAGCAGGAAACAGATAAACACTTGTTGAACAAACAACTACACCACAAACAGTGTTGTTACTGTTACTTGTGAATGTGTTACAGACCCACACACTCACTCACCTGTTTGAGTCCATCAGCTCTGTTGCTCCCCCAGATCATGGAGACGTTGAACAGGTTGTAGCCTGCCGACACAGAACAGCAGCAACAGTATGTGGTGACCTCTTCTTACCATATAAGGGCATGTTTACCATGGTAACAGGGAGAAGAATGATGCTATGATTAAGCTAATGAAGCTATAGAGGGAACCATAAGGGAGCTCATACCTGGAGGATTGGGAGCGTCACCTGCAGAGAAACACATCAGCCACATTATAATACACTGCTGACACATGAAACATGCGCTCTTTGTCATAGAGCACAATTACAGTTTTCTTAAATGCACAAGCTGCTGTGATACAAACGTGTTCCTAAGAGCATTTGATGACATTTAAGAAGCACAACACTTAGCAAGCATTTTGAGGTAGTTAGATGCTGAGCGGAGATTCACACCTGACACTGCTGTGGAATATACTGCATCAATGAAAAGTGCTTTTATGTATTTATGAAATTTATGTTGTGTGGAAAGGATTTAAATTCTTTAAAAAAAAAAGAACCTGTGTGAGCTTTGTGCATTGACTTTATGCTGCAAGAGACATGTCAGATCCTACAGGAGGTATGCTGGGAGTAATGAGAGGTTGTCATTTATGAAACATACGGTACCAGTCGCAAATTAACACACATCGCTCAGTCAAGGGTCTCTCTTTATCGCCCCTGTGGAGAATACATCAAAACTATAAAATAACACATGAGGGAATATGTAGTGAACAAAGTAAAATATCTTTTCCATTCTAGATACTAGCCACCTTCGCTGAGCTGGGTTCAAGTTGGGTGACTCGGTACCGGTCAAACAGCCCTTACAGAGGCTTCTGGATCAATGATGGTTCAACTGAGCTCAAAGCAGATGGAGTGGTGTTTTGTATGTGCTTTGATTTCTGAATAAGCTGCCAACAATGTCACCAGTAACCTCCTCCCAACAGCTGATGCTGGGATGTGTCTGCTGCTTGAACTCTGTGAAGCACTGATGTGGACTCTAATCTGTTAGTGAGTGTTTTCTACGGCTGTGAACTCCGCTGACCGTCTCTTCCACAGTCTTGTTCATCCTTCGCTGTGCTGATCCTCAAAAAACAGTTTCTTTGTTTGCTGCTTTTTGTGACTGAGCGTTTCCATTCTGGCTGAAGTAATGATAGATTGCGGTTTCTTCTGACACAGTTGAATGTTTTCTTGCCATATTATGGATTACTACAGTGGCTGAATAGGGCCTTTTGCTTTATAACAACACTACCGAAGCTCAACACAACTGATAGTCTCATATTTCACAGAATAACTTTTGGCATGGCTCGCTAAAACTAACTAAAAACTATTCCAGGTGACGACCTCATGAAGCTGCTTAGTTTATCGACAATTGTGCAGAAAGTTGTCAAAGAGCAGCTACTTTAAGAGAATAAATATCACTAAATATTATTATTAATATTAGAGTATTTTAAAAATGTATTTAAGTATTTCTGCTATTGGGACGAGT